TATCTACATTTGGAGAAAGAAAGGCTGTCAAGACAAATTGGTTATTTGTATATGTAATGCTGAGTTTCCTAAGTCTAGGGAAGAATTTTGGGGAGTCATCAATATCAGGGAATTGAAGTTTCCTCCTTGAAAGCAATGCAACATGATTCATGATCTTAAAATGACCTTTTAGAAACATTCCATTCATCACCCTCCCTCGTATGTTCTTGTATAGATATACATCTTTGATCATCTCTACTTTTCAGAAATTCTGAGAATTTTTGATTCTCACAAAATCCCTGAATAATAGACAAATTGAGCTCTGTGAAAGGAAATCTATTAAAGTTATTTATTACAGACAAGGACTGTTTCTAATGAGGTTTAAATCCTAGCAGGAAGAAACTGAAAAGATCATCTGAAGTGGAAGTCAGGATTGGACCACATTTATTTTTTATTTGAATTAGCTCCCAGCCACCAATATCATACCCAATGGGCCCACTTACTAATGTTTGTCTGGTCCCTACAGCTAGTTCAGGTTTCAATCTTTATAATAATACTTTCTCATTTTGTGGCTGAGGAATTAGATTCTCAGAGAATTCAGATGTTTTAGTTCAAGTCATACAGCTGATGGATAACTAAACAAGGAATTTATTGAGATGAGAAAATTATAATATGCTATACTGTATCATATTAATCCCCAAATTCATATATGTCTCGACCATTTCATTTATATAACTGTGAGTCTGAATATCTTTAAATTAGAATTAGTTTTGGAGTTAGAGAAAAATGACTCTGTTTCTAATAATTGTCATTTGATATTTTTTCCCCAAAGAGAAAAATGAAGTCATTGATTCTTTTCTAATTTACTACGAGTCACATTTTAAAAATATATAGCAACATAATTAGAGATGTATGAAATACCTGGACGACAGGGAAAGCACAGAAAAACATAAGTAAGCATAGTAAAGAGATAAATAAAACAGAGTAAATACCTTCTTAATTCAATTATTTTGGCATTTAGGGAAACTGGGATTGAACTTGGCTTAAAAATGGAAAGTAACATTTTAAAAATTTCTACCAGCTTCTAGGCACTGTACATAAGTTATCTTATTCACACAATAATCATTCAAGGAAAGTATTTGTCATCATTCTTACAGGAAAAGAATCTGAGGTTGCCGAGAGGTTGAGAAACACTCCAAGCATATTCAACTAGTAAGTGGCCAGGTGGGAATTGCAGTGTGATTCCGAAGTGTGCATTACTTCTAGGACATAATTTGCTTACTTTCTTAGACACAAACTTTGTGCAATTTAAAAGCATAAATAATTTTGTATAAGAAATATTTTAAATGATGGGGAAACAAAGGGTGAGTCAAATTTTAAAGCACCCCCAAGAAAATCTGTTCTATATTACCATGCAATTAATTTTACTTTAAACAATTCTTTTCCATGCATGAAAGAAATTCCCTTAGGACATTCATTAGGCATAATTTTCTTAATCTGAATTACCTTCATGTTGGAGAGTAACCAAAAGGCATTTCTCTGGTGCAGAATATTCCCTAATTCAAGCTCTTCCAGAACATGCAGTTTGCCTTATTCAAATTTATACAAATTTATGACCTATCTTTTCCCTAAAATAGTGAAATATTCAAGTGAAATATTGAATATACCCATTTATGTATATGTATGTATGCATATGCATGTCATATATATGTATATATGACAGGTATATACATATCATATATATGTTTATAAATTTCCCAAAGCATCTTCAAGTCACTCACAAAAATAAGTAAATGTGACTCATTTTTTATAGACAACAACATATTTCCCTTCCAGGGCTGCAGAAAATCTTTCCTTTGAAACCTTTTTGACTGAGAGCTAAATCTCTCCAGACAGGCTGAGGAGGATTAGAGTGTATTCCTTTGGGTAGCAGCCCAGCAGGGGCAAAGGAAGATAAAGGGATTTGCAAACATGGTTCTGATGAAGAAGGCAGCCAGAATGAATGGTTGAGGGACCTGTAACTCCTAACCTAGGATACTTTCAGCCCCAATCAAACCCCAGATGGGCTGCTTCTGCCGAGAGCTCCTTCCTTTCTCAGAGCCTGCTGAAATAAATTCTGTGCCCTTTCAGAATAGATTTGAATGGTGAATTACCCTGCTTAAAGATGGAAAAAGAGCAGGGAAGCTTTTCTTTTCCCACGAGGCAGCATCCCTATTTATAAACGGTAATGAAATTGACACAGGTAAACTGATTATGCTAAGTATACTGGGTACACAGAATCTCTAAACACCATTTCTTCTGCCTGCTCTTTTGGGTTTGGACAGAAAACTATGGAACTGGGGCTCAGAAGCTCTAGTCCCAATCAGTGAATAATTTATCAGCCTTTAATAAGTTGCTGATCTCTTTGTACTTCAGCCTAAAATATGAAGTAATAGCTTTCTTAGTAAATTGTTTTGAGATTTCGTATTGAAAGGATAAATATGTAGTAATTATGAAGCCCTTTTAGCAGCATTCCAACAAGGGATTCCAAGCTAAACCCAATTGACATGAACTGTTTTTTTTTTTTTCATCAGTTAGAAATAAACTACTTTGAAATAATGAAGAATGAAGCATATCTTGAGTGATATTTTCCTATAAAAATTGAGATAGAATTATCTAAAATAGAGTGCGAGAAAAGCAGTATTTAGTTCTTGAGTGTCTGCTATTGGCTGGATGCTAGAGGTAAAAGTGGATAAGGCACCACCTTGATCTCAGGGCACTCTCAGCCCAGAGGGCCTGACTGCAAACATGCAAGTAAGTACAACAGCAGCAGGATGCACACATCCAGCGCCAACATAGAGGACAGGTCACCAACTGGGAGAACATCGTGGCCAGGTTTTTGTGTCCAAAATCAAAGAATTTTAGAGCTGGAAGTTATCCTAGAAATATTTTTAACTTAAGTTTTAAAGTGACAAGTAAAAATTGCATGTATTTATCATGTACAACAGGATGTGATGGTTTGAAATATGTATATATTGTGGAATGGCTAAATTGAGTTAATTAACATAAGCATTATCTCACAGATCGTTTTTACAGTAGGAAATATGAACACTTAAAATCTACTCTCTTCGTGATTTTCAGGAATTACAATATATTATTATTAATTATAGTTCCCATGTTGTATAATAGATCTCCTGAACTCATTCTTCCTATCTAACTGAAATTCTATGCTTTTTGATCAACATCTCCCCAGCCCCTGGTAACCACCATTCTACTCTCTGCTTCTGAGTTCAATTTTTTAGATTCCACTTATAAGCGAGATGATACATTATTTGTCTTTCCTTGCCTGGCTTATTTTACTTAACATAATGTCCTTTAGATTCATCCATGTTGTCAGAAGTGACAAGATTTTCTTCTTTTTGAAGGCTGAATAGTATTCCATAGTGTATATATACCACATTTTCTTTACCCAGTCATCTGTTGATGGATACTTAGGTTGATTCCATATCTTGGCTACTATGAATAATGCTGCAATGAACGTAGGAGTGCAGAAATCTCTTCAGGAACTGATTCCTTTTCTTTGGATAAACATATATCCAGTAAGTGGGACCATATGATAGTTCTATTTTTAATTTTTTGAAGAAAACTTAAATTAAAATTAAATTAATTTGTTTACTGTTTTCCACAGTGACTGTACTTATTTACATTCCCACCACCAAGTGTAAGAGTTCCCCTTTTTTCACATCTTCACTTCATCTTTTTTTCTTTTTGATAATAGCCATTCTAACAGGTAGGAGTTCATACCTCATTATGGTTTTAATTTGCATTTCTCTGATAATTAGTGATGTTGAACATTTTTTCATGTATGTATTGGCTGTTTGTATGCCTTTTTTGTGAAACGTCTAATTCAAAATTCTAGAAACATTTATTTAGGTCAGCTTTTTTATGGTTTAGAACAGGAACATGAGATCCTGAGAAATCAAGAGACTTGACAAAAATTATGGAAACTCACAACTCCTGATTTTCAGTCTGGTTCTTTTTTTTCGTTATACAACATTGAAACCAACTCAACCAGTTAAGCCTATGAAAGATAAACACGCACACATATACACACACAATATTATATATAGTATTCTTAGTGAAATATAATGATATTGATATAGATCATAAATGTGGTATATATAATTTATAAATATATTCATAAGTTTATTATGAATATAATATAGAATTATTATAAAGTTATTTGTATATTCATATCAAAGTATATATAACCAATATTATGCATTTTATAATATAGCATGCCTTATATATTATTATATATTTATAAGCATTATATATATTCTATAATATATATGAATGTCAAAATAAATAAATGTGCAAAAAATATTGCTTGACAACTCAAAGAAAACTCATTATGCAATAAGCTGGATTCTTCACTTTTCATCCATCATTTTATTCTGAGAAGATCCACCCTCTTCTCATTTAAATCATATGCTTTCCTCCGATCCCACCATAAATGACAGCTCTTGCAGGTAACTTCGCTCAGTGACCCTAAAGCACTTCTGGATATTAACAACCTTTCTCCAGCCTGTACCACCAGACAGTGGGCTCCTAAAGAGCCCTTTAATTGGGAAGTAGTCCCCATGGTCATAGAGAACATCATCTAGAATTAGGCTGGCACAAACCACGATCCACTTCTATATTCTAGATGTGAGTTAAGAGCAATTGCCCTAAAATCTCTAAACCTACTCATTTCTTCATCTACAAAATGACGATAATATCTGTATTTACTGCATTGTCTTTTCAGAATTCAAGTGCATATAGGCACATAACCCTCAGTAAATACAGGTTTTTAGTCCTTTTCTGTGGTTCTGCACACTGTGAGTGCTCAATAAATGTTTGTTATGCCAAATCAAATTTGATGTTTTCCTTCAAATTCTTTTATGTTTCTCCCTCTTTGATTTTAGCTCGATTCCTTTAATTTTGTCTCCCAGATACTGAGAGATAGATCATAAAAGGTATTTTAAATTATTTATATTCACCTTTGGGTGCTCCAAGAAAACAAACAGCCAGCTGCATCAGATTTTGCCGACAGCATTCTCTCCTTGTCAACACACAGCAACAAAGGCAGCTATGAAAGTTTGTAAAAGCATTTTTTTCTGTTGACTCATCAGCAAAGAGAGAGAGAGACAAACATCAAATGATAACATGAACAATCTTAGTAACTAAGAAACAAACTGTGTAGTTTCTGAGACTTCCTTGGGGCAGAAAAACACCGAGTGAAGGGACGACATGTCCATTAACTGTAAGAATCAGCCAAAATAGAAACTTTCCTTGGAAATTTCCAGGTATTAATTGAAGCTGAGCTGTTTAAACCCAAATTATCTCCCTAAATGCCCCAATCCCCTTCTTGAATTTACAAGAGTCTAATTTCCCTGCCAGATTTCTTTTTCTTTTTCACCTGTCTGGATTATTATAAGGTTAACTTATCAGACCCACCTTCAGATACACAACTCTGCCCCATCATCTCAGTTTCCTCATCTCCAAGAGCAATTGTGTGAACACATGGGCATGTCTCTCTAGCTATGCCTTCAAGTCCATCCCAAATCCACCTCACCACTCGGTCACCTCTGACCTGCACTTCTGCAAGAGTTCTGTCTCTCTTTTTCTTCTCTTGCCTACCACCATAGATTCTCCACACTATAGCCACAGCCAATGTAATGACATTTAATATAATAGTTAAATCAGCCTGATGCTGGCACAAGAACAGAAGCATAGATATCTGGAATAGATCTGAAATACCAGAGATGAAACCATCAGTATACGGTAATCTAATCTCTGATAAAGCTGACAAAAATATACATTGGGGAAAAGACTCTCTCTTCAATAAATGGTGCTGGGAAAACTGGCTAGCTACATGCAGAAGAGCAAATCAGGATCCCTACCTCTCACCTCTCACAAAAATTCAATCGAGATGGATAACAGACTTAAACTTAAGGCATGAAACCTTAAGAATCCTAGAAGAAGATGTTGGGAAAACGCTATCAGACATTGGCCTAGGCAAAGAATTTTTTAGGAAGACCCCCAAGGCAATCACTGCAGCATCAAAAATAAACAAATGGGATCTGATCAAATTAAAAAGTTTCTGCATAGCCAAGGAAACCATCAGTAGAGCAAATAGACAACCCACAGAGTGGGAGAAAATATTTGCTCTCTACACCTCTGATAAAGTTCTAACAACAAGAATCTATCTAGAACTTAAAAGAATTAACAAGAAAAATCAAACAATCCCATCAAGAAATGGGCGACAGAAATGAAAAGAAACTTCTCCAAAGAAGACAGAATAATGGCATGCAAACATATAAAGAAATGCTCAACTTCTCTAATTATTAGAGAAATGCAAATCAAAACCACAATGAGATACCACCTAACCCCAGTAAGAAGGGCCTATATCAAGAAATCCCAAAACAACAAATGCTGGCGAGGATGCGGAGAGACAGGAACACACCTACACTGCTGATGGGACTGCAAATTAGTGCAACCTTTATGGAAAAGAATTTGGAGATACCTCAAACAGCTAGAAATAGAAATACCATTCGACCCTGTAATAGCATTGTTGGGCATCTACCCAAAAGAGCATAAGACATTCTATTATAAAGATATCTGCACCCAAATGTTTATAGCAGCACAATTCACTATTGCAGGGTCATGGAAACAACCCAAGAGCCCATCAATTCATGAGTGGATAATTAAAATGTGGTACATCCTCACAATGGAGTATTATTCAATCCTAAGAAATGACAGTGAGCTAGCACCATTTATGCTATCCTGGATTAAGCTTAAGCCTGTTATCCAAAATGAGGCGACACAAAACATGGAAAATGGGCTCTACATCTACTTGCCATCAAATTGGTACTGACTGATTAAAACTATGGTTTTCAAATAGTGGCAATGCTCACCAGGGATTTTGGGGGGGGGACCCAATCTTAGGGAGGTGGTGAGTATTTTGGAGGGGAAGGGCATAACTCTAACCCTTCTTAGGGATAGGCAAAGATATACAATGTAACCAAAATGTCAAAAAAAAAAATCAAAACTAAACTTTTTATCTGGTAGTGGGCAGGCAGGAGGGGGGAGGAGGAAAGGGGTGTATGCTTCCATAACGTATGTGGTGCACACCACCGAGGATTGGACACATCGGGGGGGAGGGAGGGGGGAAAGGGGCAATATTTGTAACCCTAACAATATTTGCACCTCCATAATATGATGAAATAAATAAATAAATAAATAAATAAAGTATTCAGGTAAACTCCCCATTATCTTTAGAATAAAACACAAACTCCTTACCACAACCTCCAAGGCCCTATGTAATTAGGTTCCTCACTTCCTATTTGCCTTCATCTCATATCACTTTTTTCCTCACTTGTGCCTATTCATTTCTCAAATGCACCAAACAGAAGACAACTAAAGACGTTTGGCCTCCTTGTCTTCTCTGCTGAGAAGATCCCCTCGCTGGCTTTTTGCATGACTCGTGCCTTCCATAATTCAGATGGCTGTTAAGAGAGGCTTTTCCTGAACATCTCTATTAAATGCTCCTCCCTACACCCTCTTTTGACTTACCTGAGTCTACTTTCTCATTCTCACTTATTTTCTGGGATTAATTAAAGAGCTACACTTTGATACTATCTCCATCTCTGCACTTGCATCTAAGCTTTGTGCAACTTTACTGACAGGGTCAGAAATAATGCATGACACATAGCAGGTGCGCAATAAATAGTTTTTGAATGAATAAGGAATGCAAATAAAATATTTGTAAAGCTCTTAGTAGAATGTTGGTCCAGTAATATACATACCGAGAATTAGATCTTTAAAAGTTATATAATTTGAAAGGTAATGTGAAAGCAGCAAAAATGTAGAATAAGATCATACTAGGGTAGGACGACCTCTGATACTAGGCTAGGAAAAGTCTCAAGATGCTAATAGATAGAAAAGAGGCCACACTGACAATTTCTCCATTTATATTCATTCCTATGTGAATGGATGCCACCCAAGCTATTCCAAATTCTACCAGATACATGCCCTTATATTCTTAAACATTGACCAACCCTGGTGCATAGATTAAACTTAGTAGCGGAGTCTGCTTATTTGCATCTAGGGTGCAGCATGCTACTGAGCACAGCTTCTGTCCTAGAACTGATGGCAACACTACTATTAGGAAGCCAGACACTCAGATTATCTTCAAGGCCAATGGAATTTTGATCCTGACACCCAGACCTTCTTGTTTTAGGTAGAACACTTCAGGGATTTAATATCAAAAGCGTTTTGGGACAATGTGCAAAGCCTCAGAAAATTCCATTTCTATCACCCAAGATGAAAGAGTACATTTTTACCAGTTCTGAGCCTTTGAACTACATCTGCTGTGTTGCCACCGTGTTTTCAAGCTTGTTAGCCCTGACATGCAGGCAGAAGCTATTATTTTAATTTGCATTTCTGGACAAAAACGTTGACCTAGATTTCCTTCTAGCCCATAGTCTGTGTGAAGAAGTGATTCGGGAGGCTGCTCCCTCAAGCCCCTCTATATAATTAGCTACATCTCAGACTGAGATAGAGAAAAAGAACAGGTAGGGGGAGAAAAAATTGGCCTGGCCTCATGCTAACTCTGGGAACCAAATGTATTTGTTTCTTTGAAAAAACTGTCTCCCAAGTCCTTGGCAGAGTGCTCAAAGTAGCCTTTATGTAAGTGCTGGAAGTTGTCTTTAGTCCAAGGCCAGGGACTGCAGTTCAGTGCGCGCAAGATCAAACACAGGTGCAGCAGAGATGCTGAGCAGTTCAGCAAGTCACCCTGGGGGAGAGCCAGGTGGAAGATTGTGGGGGAAAAGCTTTTCATATTTTAAAAGACATTGAAGTACCGCTGCCTGGAGATGCGAAGTATTTAAGAGACCTCTTGGTAGAAAATTCCTTTTTACCACACAAAATGGCAGGGATACAATTCAAAATAAGAATGATTCCTCCAGAGAAGTTCTGTTTTTGCCTCCATCACAACGCTTGAGTACTATAAGGTAAAAATAAACCCAGCTAAGGTTTGAGATTTCACAACTTTGTGAGGAAAGCTGGAAACTTCACTCCAGCAACATAATTGCCTTGATTTCATGTTCTTTTTGTTTATGAAGTATTTATCCAGTGCCTGTTACGTGCTGGATGTGTTGGGAAGAAAAACTTGAATTTCTCTCATGGAATCTATAGTTTTGTTTCCAAATAGAGCATGTGCCTGGCATGGTTACAGCCCAGTGTAATCTGGGCATTATGAAGCCTACAGGAATGGAATTTTATTTGTTTCTCCTTGCTTCTGTTATCATTTCTCTAACCAGCTTCTTCCCAGTCACTTGCAGATGTTAAAATCAATAATCTCTTTCAGAAACTTTCCCCCCTTCTTCAATACCTTCCCATAGCTCCAGGATGCACTTCACAGCATGGTAGAAAGAACATGGGTCTTGGCATTGCACAGAGCCAGGTTCAAATCTTGGCAGGTCTTCAGAAGCTACCACGTATGTGCTAGGTGACTCAAATAATTTAGATTTGAATAAATGCTCCATTGCTTCCAGTGTGTAAATTAAATTCTGGCTGCATCTCAATCTTATTCTCATGTATAAACTGAAATTATTTTTTAAAACCAACACTTTTTGAGTCCTTTCTATATGCAGGCACTAGAAATACAAAGCTAAGTAAGATACATTTGGCCTTGAGAAAGACAGACGAATTTCTATTTTTTTTATTTCAGCATATTATAGGGGTACAAATGTTTAGGTTATGTGTATTGCTTTTGCCCCACCCTAGTCAGAGCTTCAAGCATGTCCATCCCCCACATGGTGTGCACTGCACCCATTAAGTGTGTATATACCCATCCCTTCCACCCCCTCGGACCTGCCCAACATCCGATGAATGTTACCACTACATTAAGTGTTGATCAGTTAATACCAATTTGATGGTGAGTATATGTGGTGCTTGTTCTTCCATTCTTGTGATATTTCACTTAGTAGAATGGGCTCCAGCTCTATCCAAGATAATACATGAGGTGCTAGATCACCATTGTTTTTTGTGGCTGAGTAGAACTACATGGTATATATATACCACAT